AAAACATAGAGTTACCAAATCTAACCAATCACTTAGTCATGAATGCCCAATAGTGTTCTCTTCCTTGCAGGTAGCTAATAGGGTGTGGCAGCTGTGCCTCTAAGGGTGCACAGGAGTATAGAGATAAAACGTGGATCAGGAATGCAAGGAAGAAAATAACTGCAGGCTTTTCTTGAACTTACAAGTTGCTGCTAGAACCATAGGTAAGAACCATGTGGTGCGGATGCCAATTCAGAAAGAAAATAATTCAGTTCTGAGAGAGAAGGTGTGAGAAAGAAAGTCAACGTAAATCTGCTGATTCTGTATGGTGCAAGAGGAGCAGAGGATACCATGGCTGGCTTTCAAGGTTTTTTTCTCCCAATAAAATATCTGTTATTGTACTTTATAACCATAGAGTTCCAGTAATCCTTGTGTTGTCTGCACCCTGGTCTGGACTACTTTAAATAGCTGATAGAAGGCCACAGCAGAGAAGATCAGGCCCTTCGACGTTTTCCAGAGCAAACACACACAGTCCAGCCAGATCCACTTGGACAGAACAGTTCCTAAGGTAGGAATAACCATATAAAGGTAAAGTTTCCCCTCACTCATACATGCCAGTCGTTTCCGGCTCTAGGGGGTGGTGCTCATCTCCATTACAAAGCCAAAGAGCCAGCGCTGTCCAAAGACGTCTCCATGGTTATGTGGCCGGCATGACTAAATGCCGAAGGCGCACGGAACGCTGTTACCTTCCCACCAAAGTGGTCCCTATTTTTCTACTTGCATTTTTACATGCTTTCAAACTGCTAGATTGGCAGAAGCTGGGACAAGTAACGGGAGCTCACTCCGTTAGGCGGCGCTAGGGATTCGAACTGCCAAATTGCTGACCTTTCTGAGCGATAAGCTCAGCGTCTTAGCCACTGAGCCACCACGTCCCTCAATAACCATGTAGGTCTTTATAAATCAAAACCAGAACTGTAAATCGCATTTGTAAACTTCCTGAAAAACAACACAGTAATTTGAGTATCACCTGCTAAAAACCTAGCCATTGCATTTTGTCCTAATTGCAGTTTTTGAATCATTTTCAGAAGCAGACCATTTAGATCTCATTATAATAATCTCCTGGTGAAAGAGGATGAGTCACTGTTGCTAAGGCAACAGATATGTCCACAATTGGCATCTCCTCCCCATGGTTTCTACCTGTGGTTCTAGCAGAAACTGCAAATTTAGCAGGACCCTCAAGCTGCAGACTTGTTTCTTCAGAGGGGCAGTGAACTCTCCAAAACCAACACAGGTATAATTTTGAAACTAGAATGTCTCTTGGCAAACAATAGCTCTTGCTGGAATTTGATCTATCCTTCTCATCAGGCTTAGTACAAGAATGATACAAAGTTTCTGCCAAAGTTTACTTCATTTGCTTACACAATATAGACAGAATCTTGCCAGGGTAAAACTATTCTATCCTAAGCTAATAGGTGTACCCTGTGAGATTCTAGAGAGTGATGATTCTAAATCTTTTCCTTTTATGATTCACCTCCAGACTGTGCTGTCTCTTGTCTCGCCCTTCTCTTTGGGATATTTCCTCCTTCCTGAGAACCTGCTGAGTTACTGTAGTCCATAGCACCTCCTCCTTAGTAGACACATTCCATCACATGAACTTCCACAGCACCTCCAGTTTAGCCTGGGGTGGAAACACCCAATTAATTCCTCATCCTAAACGGACTGATAACCTCTTCCCACTTGGTATACCTTAGCCTTTTCTGCACTGTATGCATGTTGGTAATTGCCACAACAGCAATACACAACTTATCTTTCCTTTTGCAGCCCAGAGCAATGTACATAATATACACAATGCAAATTACATAATAGGCAAGGTTGTAAAACAACAACTGGCCTAACACAATGAGCTTCATGTGCAAGCAGGAATTTGAAGCCTGCTTTTCTGCGTCACAACCTAATGTTCTCACCTCTCTCTCCTCACTTACATGCGTATAATTTTCTGATGAAAACCCATTCTGATTAAAATGTGTGTTCTTTAAAAAAATTGTTCTCTTTTTTTCCTAGTTAATTTCCTAACAATGAGGATAATTAACCAGAGGAATCTTCAGAAGTTGCAGGTGCTTCATCACTGGAGGTTGTGAAGAAAAGACTAGATAGCCACCTGTCTGAAATTATATAGGGCAGGGGTCTCCAACCTTAGCAACTTTAAGACTTGTGGACTTCAACTCCCAGAATTCCTCAGACAGCTTGTGGAGACCCGTGGTATAGGGTCTCCTGCTTGAGCAGGGGGTTGGACTAGAAGACCTCCAAGGTCCCTTCAGCTCGTACTCTGATTGAAATAGTTAAATTTAGCAACCTTCCTAAATAGACCTAGAGGCAGACTCGCACCTGCATGTTCAGTTTGCCAACTAGAAACCAGGAAATGATCAGATTTGGAGTAGCTGGAATGCTAAAGTTTTTTTTTAGTCATTTATGATACAGGGCAGTGGTGGAATTCAATTTTTTTTACTGCCGGTTCTGTGGGCATGGCTTGGTGGGCGTGGCAGTGGAAGGGTACTGTAAAATATCCATTCCCACCCCACTCCAGGGGAAGGATACTGTAACATCCTCACTCCCTCCTGTTGAGGTAATTCCCTGTTAGGAGAATGAGCGCATACAGGGAGACGTATAGAGAGTAGTGTTGGAATAATACACACAGAGCAAACAGATACACTGTACAGTAAATGTAGGTTTTTACTTCCAGAAAAGTTTAAGCAAAGTCCAAAATAAGCAATCCAAAAGTCATTCACAGATAAATCAGTCCGTTTTTCAATCCAGGGATAATCCAAATATCAAATTCCAGTGTCAAAAACAGTTCAGTATCAGACTTACATTAAATTCATGAATATCAGTCAATTAGAAGAAATGGAACAACGGCAATACTTTCCAACAGAAGGAAACAGAGATATTCACTCAGACACACTCTCTTCTGAGACTAAGACTAAACAACCCAGGTTTCTGGCTCTATCTTATGGCTGTTTGAGAAACCACACCCAATTGCATGCTCTTGCATTCCCTTATAGTACTAAAATGTTTATCCTGGTTTATATATTTCTAACCCAAATACCTGTTAGGTGACTTATATTCCTAACACCTCCCCACCTCACTAACCTGCTTTCCAGCTCTGTTCTCCTGTACAGGGCAATAAAAGAAGGCCCGATCAGCTGGGACTCAGGAGGCAAAGAATAGGCGGGGGCCAGTCAGAGGTGTATTCCGAACTACTCAAAATTTCTACTGCCAGTTCTCCAGAACTGGTCAGAACCTGCTGAATACCACCTCTGATACAGGGGCTAAAATGCTGGATTAGGATCATACTGTAAGCAAAGTGAGGTTTTCTGGAGAACACAAAGCTTTCTCTCAGACCAAGTTGGTGGAACTACTGTGCTACTCAAGGAATTGCAGGGGGGGGGGAGGGATCTACCAAAGGATAAATTGGCAGTATAAACTTCCATAAACTTCAGGATAATTGTCGAATGTGAAATGGGTTTACAGACCCAGACATTAGGAAATGTGTTGGTATCATATGCAAAATCTCAGCTGAATCTTAAGGTGCTATGATTCTGAAGTTTCAGATGGGGTAGTGGTGGTTTGAGAAATCTGACCTGACTTTACATTGTCTAATTGGGAGATGGCAGCTCTCCATTAAAAATGAATGTAGCAAGGGAAAACATACAAAGAACTGAGTATATTCAGAGCAAAGAAACACAAATGTAGTGCATCAGGACAAAAAAATATAAAAAAATAAAACAACTCTGTATGAAAAATACATTGGAAAAAAGCAAATGCAAATATTAGAAGAAATGCATACTGAGATGCATAAAGTTTTGTGTGAGTTGTTTCTAACTGTAAACTGATGCAAACAGAAGACAAGTTAAACTGGAAAAATGAGAAACCGAGGAAGCTAAAACTGCCTCATTTGTGCATTCATAATGGAGGCCTGAAACAGATGTAACTTCAACTGCCAACCATAGGTTTGCCACATTAACCCAGCAACATATGGAAACATAACACATCTGCCACCTGGGTTGGCTTAGATATTTGTAGAATTAGTAGAGCAATTAAGTGACTCAGACTGATGATTTCTACATGCAAATGGGTGCCGGTTTAAGGTTTTGAACTTGGGCTGGGAAGACCCAGGTTCAAATCCATGATTTTGGACCAGTCAGTTACTCTCAGTCCAACTTAGTTTGTAGCCATAGGGAAAAATCAAAGAGTTCAAAGTGTGTTACCTTGAGATGCTGAAAGAAAGAATAAAGTAAATATACCAAATGTAGCTTTTCTATCTAAAATGGTGTTAGACATAGCAGAGGGTATTCACTCATTAGATTTGGCTGGTTGCGGCCTTCCACTGTTATTTTAATTCTAGGATTCTGCTTACCTCGTAGTATTTTGCAAATCTGCCTACAGTATTCCCATAAATTCCTTTCCTCTACATATTAGTTTTCCTCAGGGAGACATTAAGATGTAATTGTTATCATACTGATTCATTTGTATCTTTATGTATAGGCAGTCCTCGACTTACAGGTTTGTTTAGTGACCGTTCGAAGTTACAACTGCACTGAAAAAAGT